TCTCTCTCTCTCTCTCTCTCTCTCTCTCTCTCTCTCTCTCTCTCTCTCTCTCTCTCTCTCTCTCTCTCTCTCTCTCTCTCTCTCTCTCTCTCTCTCTCTCTCTCTTTTGTGAGACCGTCTCCCTTGACTCTCCCTCCCACAACACACGCTGTCCTTGTCTCACGTGTCGTTTGGTCTGTGTGCGCTCTGCTTGCGCTCCGCAGAATGGTGGCGCTGTACGACCACGCATCGAGCACGCACGGCGGCTCTGTGCTCCTCGGCTTCAAGAAGGGCGATGTCATGACGCTCATCCGCAAGCGTGACGACGGCTGGTGCAAGGTGGTCAAGGGCTCTGAGCAGGGCTGGGCGCCAACCTCGTACCTCAAGCCGGCGGACCCCTCGGCCGCGTCCACATCGGATGCCGCCTCTGCGCCATCGTCGCCACAGCGGCAGCAGCGGTCTGCGTCGCCAAGCCAGCCGCCGGCAACGCAGCCTGCCACACCTGCACCCTCCCTGGACGAAGCAGGTGCCAACACATGCTCACATGCCGACACCTTGCTTGTGCTCCCTTCAGCGCGCTGCGCGTACGTCACATGTAACCCGCCGCCACTCACCACCACATACCACCACCACTTGCCACCACCATCAGGCAAGCGATTTGCTGCTGCGCTGCAGTCGCTGACGGCGGCGGCCAAGGCCGTCATCGCCCGCGACCGCGAACTCGCCTCCCTCTCAAACGCTCTGGTCCGTGTGCTGCTGTGGTTTGTCTTTGTTGCTGCTGCTGGTCGTGCTGGTCGTCGTCATCGTCATGCTGGTCGTAGTTTGTGTGTGTGTGTGTGTGTGTGTGTGTGTGTGTGTGTGTGTGTGTGTGTGTGTGTGTGTGCCTGGGCTCACGTTCCTTGCATTCATGCACCGAACTAAAGAATGGTGTGTGCATTGGTGCCCATGGTGTCATCTCTCTCCCTCTCCACCCGCTTCACCCGCTTCACCCGCTCGGTACAGGCTGAGGGCATTGAGGGCAAAGTCACTGCGGCACAACAGGTAGGGCAGCAGATGATACATGCGTGCTCCGGTCGCGGCAACACGCATCTGCCGCCCCCCCCCCCGGACGTTCTGCCACTATGTGCCCGCACCCATGCCACCTGCTGTGCATCTCATCGTCCTGTCATGTGTTGCTTGTTTTGTTTGTTTGTGTTGTTTGGTTGTTTGTGTGCAGTCTGTCCTGGACACGCGCGGACACATTCAGAAAATGGATGCGGAGACAAAGGGCAAAGACAAAGGTCGACGCTTGGAAGTCAACACCAACATCCTTGGCCTCGCCACAAAGGTGAACGTGACTTGTACTTTGTCCTCTTGTGTGTATATGTGTGTGTGTGTGCTGTTACTGTATGTTGCGGATTGTCGGATTCGCTCATACTCATGTGCTTCTTGTGTATGCGTGTGCACATGTGCGCAGCTGATGGACGTGATGGAAGGGCTGATCTCTGCTGCCGACGCCATGCGAGATGCACTGGAGAACACCCGCGGCATGCAGAGCGAAGACGAAGTGAGTGGGTCTCTGATGACCCGTGGTCATGACGATGGATGCTGGCCACGCATCTTTTGCTTGGGAAGACTGTGTGCTCGTTGGACAACCCACCACAACACCCGAAAACGGCGGCGACTCACCCTATGCTGTTCGTTGATTGACCTGATTGCTCTGCAGTTCAACATGAAGCACAGCTCATGGTTCCAGGGCCTCACCACCGCTGTCGACGCCATGGTGGAACACAACCCGGTCCTCACTGAATCACTTCGCTCGGTAGGATATTGCTGCGAACATGTAGTCCCCTTCTACGGATTCACTTCACTTCACTTCACTTCACTTCACTTCACTTGACGCGCATTGATCCCATCTTTCTCTTGTTGTGTTCCCTGACGCGTGCTTGCAGGTGGTGCGACAACAAGGCAAACACGAAGAATTGCAAGTCAGCGCCAGGTTAGTTTCTGTCATGTGCTTGAGTGAGTGCAAGAAAATAGGGCTTGCATCATTCACACGGTGTATCCCCGATGCATCACCCATTGCGTCAAATGAAACAGTGCTTCGCCATGTATGCAAGTGCACCTTTCTTCCCATTTTTTCTTTGCCCACGTGCTTTGTTCACTGATCTAACTCCAACTTATGACACCACCACCAACAACAACAACAACAACAACAACAACAACAACAACAACAACAACGCGACTCTCTCTGTGAACGCTTTCGTGTGTGTGTGTGTGTGTGTGTGTGTGTGTGTGTGTGTGTGTGTGTATAGAAACTTGTCTGCGTCTGTAGCGCAACTGGCTGCTCTGTCTCGCACGAAGAGCATGCCCAACGGCGACCACTCGCAGGCAGATGTAAGGGGCATTTGTCTCCTGCCTGGCATGACGTGTCGTTTCTTGCTGGTGCTGTTGGCGTCACCATGCGCAATGCAACGTGGTGTCGTGTGTGCGTGACAGGCTGCCCTTGCTCACAACACACACACACACACACACACACACACACACACACACACACACACACACACACACAAAACACATCACAACACACACAACGCAACACAACGCATGCGTGCGCTGTCAGATCAATCGCCTGAGCGAGGAGTTCAAGCAAACAGTGCACGAAATTCTTGCCGCTGTGCGCGAGTGCAAGGAGCTGGAGCTGGCCTCTGTCCACTTTGACGTCAGTCGAACGCATCCTTGCACCCGTCCCGTATCTTGTGTGTATGTGGGCGTGCTTTGTCTGCCGTGCATGGTCTCACCACAGCGCTATGCACTTGCTTGTGTTGATGGTGCTTGCTGTTTGCAGGACTATGGCTCACTGTCTGAGAACGATGCGAAGCGGCTGCTGATGGCCACGCAAGTGAACGTGCTCAAGCTCGAGAGCGACCTCAACAACGAACACGAAAAGCTGCGCCGCCTGCGCAGGATTGCTCATTACGAAGAGAAGGTGTGTTCTTGTGTGTGTGTGTGTGTGTGTGTGTGTGTGTGTGCGTGCGTGTGTGCGTGTATGTTTGTGTGTGTGTGTGTGTGTGTGTGTGTGTGTGTGTGTGTGTGTGTGTGTGTGTGTGTGTGTGTGTGTGTGTGTGTGTTTGAGAGGGAGAGTTCGTCTGTCTGTGGCTCTGGGTGTGTTCGTTTGTGCGTATGTTCGTTTGTCTGGTTTGCGTGCTCGCTTCCTGTCCTCCTCGGTGCGAGGCATCTGCCATATATCCTTCTGTCTCAGCGCTCTCGTGTGAATGGCAACACTAACTCTGAG